CTGAATGGAATGGAATGGGACCTTTCGCGATCATCCAAATATGGAGCTCATCAGACCGCTCGCAACTGATTGTGCCTTGTCTGCTGTATACTATCTGCGGTATTCATTCACTATCGCAAGCTATAGGGCATCGGGGAGTGCTACCATTTCCAATTGCAGCGGCGTGACGTTCACCATGCTTCGAGGGAATTCGCCAATGAACTATGAAAATATACGCAGGGTAGTTCTTCGGTGTTTTCAATATTCAAATGAAGATGTGCCGGGTTCCGTTAGCTTACAACAAGAAAATTTGGAAAACCTGTTCGTTTCCAGTTATCTAGACCGAAACCCGTTTCATGCGTACGTCGGCTGCTTATATCATAGATTTAGGCAGTATTCGAATACTCGGTATTTAAAATCTTGTTCAGCATACATGTGGCTGGTATTCGAATACTATTCGTGTGTTTGGTATTCGACTGAAAACTTTTTCGGTCAACACTCGGTATTCTGAATACCATCTCTATATCCCAATATTCGAATATTCAAATCCCGGTATTCGAATCCTGTATTGAAATCCTATTTTCGATTACTGCTTGGCTACTTGAGCGTGTCGAAACACAAACAAACTAGCTACGAAAAATTATTAAGTACATAAACAAATATTTAAGTTCAAAAAATGTGTTTTTTTGTTTAGTTGAAATATTCAATGTATTGATATTTAAATGAATCCAGGTATCCAAAACAGCGCTATTCGAATACCTGTTTCTTCATATTCGAATCTTATGTATTCTAATGCAATTTAATACAGTATTCAGTATTCGCATTCGAATACCAGATTTCAGTATTCGACTCAAGTCTGGTATATCACTATCAGTCTTTCACAAATATCGATGAGACGCCCCAGAAGCTTTGTTTCCTATACTAAATAGAACTTTGTGATACCTTAGCATTTCTTTTTCGAGTAATTCTGGAGCGTAAATTCTGAATTCGGCTCATTTTCCTACCTCAAATTTTGATGGTCGTATTTAAATACTCGTACAGTGCCTACTGTATATTACAATTTGTATTCTTAATTATCTTTTAATTGACATATTAATATAAACATATAAGTCGCCTATGTGTTTTGTTTTCTGTAAATGCACTGGCGGTCACTGTATCAGATTCATCTCAGTCGGCCAAACGGACATACATGCATGTGAAATCGAGTGTGCCGTGTGTGGTGGACACTCCTTCGATTGTTTTGGGTGAAAGATGAACGGCGTCGCAGTCTCAGGTGTCTAGATCGCAGCGTTTCCTTTAATAGATCAACGCCCACACTTGTGGAAGGAAACTTACCCGTTACTTGCGATTTTTTTGTTTTCATTCATCGTATATAAGCTATTATGTGAGCAGATGCAAGAACAAATTGAGTTTGTTTTGTGTTATAGACGGCAGATCGCTTGTTGCGATTACAGGATCGATTATGTTGTCTGCATGACTTCTGTGCGGATGGATGTGAGAACGAACTTTCGATAATGTGAACTTTCTTCGGGTAATGATATTTCGGAATTATACGGAAGCTCTTTCGCATACACCGTTTCAATTTATTTTTTTTTTCGCTTTCTGGTGCGTTAATTTAGCATTACTTGTCTAGAAAAATGAATGAGAAAAATATGAGAAACATACTGACAGATATGGCAAAAAATAAAAATAGCTGTGTTCTCTTTGAGTACGTGTCACAAATTATTCGACAATTTGTTTAATGAAAGTTTTTTATTTGAAAAAATTTAATCCAGCGCTTAAAATTCTGGTGAATGTTCACGACATCGATCATTCACCATAAATTGAAATGCATTCGTACTTACAGGCGGTAACATTGATTCACAGGTCCGCAAAATAAAAAGTGGCGTCAAGTAGATTGACTTTATACTTCCTCGTTGGAGGTTTCAATGGAAAGGGATGTGTCTAGTCGTTTCAATAGGAGATATCGAATCGTGATCAGGTAGGTTCACTTTGGTGTGTACGATGAATCGTCAACCTTTTCCTATCAAACTGTATAAAGCGAATCTAACATATTTCTGGTTTCTATGGCAGATGTAGGAAAATATGTGTGACTTTTTATGTCTAACAGGTGCATAGTATCACTGAGAAAATATATCTGCATCACACAAGTCCGCGTTTCTTATTTATGCCGATTTTTCAGTCCGTATCTATTTTGTATAAATGCGTCATAAGAACTGAGTCACTCTACTTGACGAAATATTCCGAGAACCACGATAGACGGTGTAACATCATTTAAAGGTTAGACGAAATGGGTGGCACATTTAAGGTTGATAAAATTATAGTGTAGATATAAAAACAGTTAAGACATCATTTAATCATTCAATTTGCTTGAAAATCAAGTCAAGTATTGAATCCCTACCTTTGAAGTTTTTATTCGTATTATCCAAAGGTTTTTCATCTTTTATTTCTCGTATGAGTATTTATGAATAATTAACTGAAAAATTGGTTTATATAACAGCCTAACATTCTAAGAGGAGAATTCATTAGATATGACTTCCTCTTATTCTACATATATGCACCTGCGTGAGTATATTATGCTGCTCATTAAACCACGTTAAGTAGAAAATAAACTATATATGTCCGTAATTTATGTTCAAAATCTACGCCTACTCAGTAATTATTTTCACCAGTTATAATAATTACAGTATTCAAAATGCTATTAAACCTGAAAATACGAGGTGCCCAAAAAAAAAATCGAATTTACTACGAACCCTTTCACTGTCTTAAAATGGAGACGGTGCAGCTTATTGAAAGATAAGCTCTTCGGTGATTTAAATTAGTGGTGCTAACATTAAACGATGGCCGTATAACATTTCACTTTAAGCACTTACCATATTGTATATAAGCATGCAGAGGTCATACGTGAAATTATCTACACTTTCGTTCTCAATTAGTGGTGAAAAAACCTAATCGAATTTCCAAATTGAATGTTCGTTATTGGTTGTTATAGTCTAGGAGGCTTTGGCGGCGGTGTTGTAAGTAGTTTATGCAAATTATGCAATATGCTACCGTGGAACAGAGTGAGGAGGTTACATGGAAGAAAGTACTTCTTAGCCCTACAAAAATAAACTAGCTTTTTCCCAGCACCGGCCGCTATTGAGAAGACGTGTTCGTCTCGTCTTCGGTGATCTGGACTCCGACCAGCCGAAATGACCGGATGTGAGCTAGGGTAGTTCATATATATGTATACAACATGACACAAAAGTCTCGGAACGGCTCTGTGTTTTTTCGAATGAATTTTTGGGAATCATCAAGGTCAGGTCTCCAATAAGGAACGGTGACCTTGAATTTGGTCTTCAAGGTAAATTTATTTTCTCAAATAGAAATCTGTATTTTTTCACCTTCAAGGTCATTCCAAGATCCATTTTTTCCAGATAGAACCCCGCAGAAACAGTAATCGGTTAAAAATCATTTGTAACGAGCACCTTATTAAAACTATTCGTGTGAGATTTCTTGAAGTTTTTCTAGCAGCACACATTTTGCTTTTATGTGACCTCTCGTAGTCACCATGACCTTGAATTCTAATATACATTGGAACATAAAATTTCTTTTCACTTTGAGGGTGAGGTTCAAGGTCAAATCCAAGATCACCGCTACTTCTGAAAATTTACTAAAGATCAGACCTTATCATTTACGACATTTCTAGAAGTTTTCCTAGCAGCTTATATTTGTCCTTTATTTAATCTATTCGACCTCCAGCGGTCATCGTGATCTTGAATTTTGAATTTTAACCGATGCTTGTCCTGCGGACTTCTATTTGAAAAAAAATGACATTGACATGACCTTGAAGTTCAAAGTCAAATCCAAGATCACGCATCAAAATTTACTAAAGAACTGACCTTGATACTTATTTTCATCTCTAGTCCTGTAAGATTCATAGTGGTTTTCTTAGCAGCACAAGTTTGACCTCTATTTGATCTTTGGGGTCACCATAACATACGGATTGTATTTGAACGTTAAATTTTGCGCTCTTTCGATTACAGGCATTAAAAATAGGGATTTTCATTAAAAAATGAAGTAGTCCTTAAAATGATCTTGGTGAGGATCAGGGTCGAATCCAGGAGGATTACCGTTAATGCATTGTTAAAATTTAGTTTTCATTACCAATCCTGTGAGATTTATAGAGATCCTTGAAGTTCAATTCGTATTTGAACGTAAAATTTTCCGCTCTTTCGATTGATGGCATCAAAAATAGGGATATTCATTAAAAAAATAAAGTTGACTTTGAAACAACCTTGAAGGTCAGCGTTAACTTTCTTGTTAAAATCTACCTAAGACCCGAGCTTGATTATGTTCATCACTCATCCTGTGAGATTTATAGGTTTTCCTAGCAACACACACTTGACCTTTAGATGGCACCATGACCTTGGGCTTCAATTCGTATTTTAACTTAAAATTTTCCGCTCTTTCGATTGCCGGCATCAAAAATACTGATTTTCATTAAAAAAAAGTTGTCTTTGAAATAACCTTGCAGGTGAAGATCAGGTCAAATCAAAGGTCAGCGTTCACTTCCACATTAGAATTTACCTAAGACCGGACCTTGATAGCTATTTTCATCATTCATCCTGTGAGATTTATAGAGGTTTTCATAGCAGCACAATTTTGATCTTCATTTGACCTTCAGTGGTTATCCTGACCTTGGACTTTAATTATTATGCGTGAACGTAAAATTTCTGTTGTTTCGATTGCCGCCATAAAAAATAGGGATTTCTATTTGAAAAAAAGTTGTCCATGAAGATTAAGGTCAAGATCAATTTCAAGGTCACTGTTGAATTCGTTGCTGAAAATTACTGAAAGCTTACCTTGATTTTTTCCAAAAATAGTTCATCCGAGAAAATACAGAGCCGTTCCAGAACTCTTGGGTCATGCTGTATGTGGTTTTATTTTTCTAAATCTCTAAATAGTCAAATACTTGTTTACAAATATTTCAGAATCTAGATTTTAGTTGTTAAATCAATTAATATTGATAATTTCTCCAGTTGATGCTGGAATTTTTGACTCCATAAAAGCTCAAGTTTTATAAAATCACTGAACCGTCTTTTTCAAATTCAATACAACACACTGTACGTCATAAACAAGATTGATGAAAGTATGAATCGATTTTCTATATAACGAGTATGCGATAGCCCCTACTTTGAGCCGTTTCGGTTTGAAAAGGAAACAGGTTGACCACATATCTACGATTACAAACGGATATCACCAATAACACAAACACGCTAATTGTATCTTCGTTATCTAATTCAGCTCTAGATGGTAATTTTGCATAAGGAGTTACGTCTTAACGCGAAAGCGTCCCATCTATTACGAAGCGCCTATCATTTGCTTTTTTATAATCGTTGATAGTCGTATCGCATTCAACAGGTGAAATTCGCGACATCAACAGTGGCGTCACTAGTTGCTGGTAGACAACAATCTGAGAGGTAGCACCTAAAGACGGTGATAGACACGTTTATGTGTAGTTCTAAGCATAAATTAATTTTCAGCAAAGATATCGTCCATCTCCGTGTTCATTACTTCTTTCTGATTCATCCATGTTTTGGCACAGGTAAACCTGTTTTTTTGAGGCAGATATGCCTGAAATCGTACATCTAGGTACACTGCAGTATTTGTAAGTTGATGGTTCACACATATTTACCGTAAATCGTAAATTCACAGCAGTGCAACGTTTATAAATCATTCGAAGCATGCACGGTGGTAGCTGGTGTCATGTGACGTCATCACTTAATCACACGCCTCAACAAGATAGTTCTCCAAATAGGAAACTTCTGGGTAGCGTAACTCTGTCGTTTTTCAAGATACTCTAAACATTTTTTCAGTATTATATTATCATTTTAAGTGCGTTTGAATAGGAAGCTTCCTCATTGTGGATATTCTGATGGAATATGTTAATCAATGTGCAGCTGTACTGATATTTTACAAGATACGCTAATGGAGCAGATTTGTCGTTGACATTCCGCATAATATCCCATCTAATAAGAAAGCCAATAAGAGAAGCACAAATGTCTCTTGGTTGTGCGTTGACAAATGCAGCTGATTAGGCGCAGATGATGGATGGATACCGTATCGCCGTTCGTTAATTAAATGAACCACTTAAGTGAACACTTGAATGCTGTTCGGTGTCGTAAATTCCATTCCGCATTTCAGGAAGTCGTTCAAATTGTCAACGGATTGATTTTTTTAGCAATTTCAATCGGATTTCAAATTTCTATTACTTATGAACATGCATTGCCGATAAGTGTTGATATTTCTTGATTTTCCTCTTCCCACGCGCAATGAGGAGAAAGTATTGTAATCGCGAAATAACGGCCAAAAACGAAAATATGAAAATCGCTCAAAACTTCTTTTTTTGACGTTTAAAAAAATGTAGCGGTAAAACATTGGGGGTGGGGGGTTGCAGGACGGTGGGGGAAGGTGTATCGCAATTTTTTGATGTTAGTATATAAATTACACCTCCAGCCCCGGTAATTCTACGCACATTTCACGCAACATAGATCAGGGAAAGAGGTTGATTTCGATAATGGTTATACGAGTAAGAAGATAAACAAAAAACTAAAATTCCACAGATCTTAATGACACACTGGTATCAGATTCGTGATATACCTAGTTTACCCAAGAAATGACTTGTACGAGATTATGAAACGTGCGAAAATCACATAACTTTTTTTCCCAAGAAAAAGGGGTGGTTCTCACGGCTACAAAACAGCTACAAATGTGGAAGAGTACGGATGGTGGTTTTCCTTAGTGCCTTACCACGCTGAAGAGGTTGAAATCCCATAAAAATGGACGTAGTAGCACTAAACAACTACCAAAACAAACTACTAAAGGTAAGGTATGCAAGAAAACTGGTACTACTTCATAAACTGGTGATTGGGGACCAATATCCCAAAATGTGGGAACCGAATTAACTTTCTCAACCAAGGCTTCAGCAGGAAATGACCAAGACGAATTTTATGGTCTTCCGTCAGTTGACAGATTCGATGCCAAAACTATATCGAAACTAAAATGTTTGGTTCGAGGTATAAAAACAGGTATTTAAAAAGTTTCCTGTATCTGAGCGGAAAGATGACATTACATTTGTCATCTAAGCATCTAATAACGAACCTTTGGGTTAGATTATAGTTATTCGAGCATTTTTGTATTTTTTAAAATTTCTAAATGCAAAATGTCCATCCCCTATGACTATAAGTGAATGCGGCTCGGCAGACTACAATAAAAGATACGGCAAGAGTCCATCCGCTATAAAAAGCCGACCCAATACTTTTCATGACATGCCTTTTAATGAAAGCAACGGTACCATGGACAGATTTGGACGCAACACCGACTCACCGGTGGATATACAGGTTAGGAAATTTTAAAACTGGACAGTGTTGCCTTGATAAGCTACACAAACCCGCATGAGCGCGCTAATATGAGCTATTAAATATATATAGGTGAAAAATTAAAGCTTCCGCCTTTTGTTGGTTACTTTGACAAAATTTGCTACTGTTATCATTGTAATTGCAGCTCCAGATGATGGTGGCAAAGTCCATTGAAAGCTAGAGAGAATTAAAAAAGTATAAAGAGTCCTCTTTGCTTAAATTTTGACGAGGTACCCAAAAAAAGGCGGACGCTTTAATTTTTCACCTAACTGGTCTAGACGACAATGACCACGTCTCAAGTTATATATATATATAGGTGAAAAATTAAAGCTTCCGCCTTTTGTTGGGTACTTCGACAAAATTTAAGCAAAGAGGACTCTTTATACTTTTTTTTAATTCTCTCTAGCTTTCAATGGACTTTGCCATCATCATCAGGAGGTGCAATTACAATGATAACAGTAGCAACAAAAGTGTAAAATGAATTTAAATTGAATCAACTACAGTAGTATGTGAGGATGTTGCTAATTGTTGTTTTCGTATAGGATGAGGGAAACGTCCAGTAACATGGTGAGAGCTGGATACATGGTACAATGGCTAAAATTACATAAAATATGACAAGACAAGTTAAGACAGATTAAAAATTATTTAGAAAACATTAGAGCATTACGTCGTGAAGCCACTTGATGATTGCACAAAATGGTGGTCATGGAATAATGAGTGAGATGAACCTTTGACAGAAGGCCGAAGGTTGTCAATGTCTGTGTTGAAAGATGGAACGAATTGTGGGCGTGTGATTTGGCAACGTTTTGGCACACGCCCACAATTCGTTCCATCTTTCAACACAGACATTGACAACCTTCGGCCTTCTGTCAAAGGTTCATCTCACTCATTATTCCATGACCACCATTTTGTGCAATCATCAAGTGGCTTCACGACGTAATGCTCTAATGTTTTCTAAATAATTTTTAATCTGTCTTTAACTTGTCTTGTCATATTTTATATAATTTCAACCATTGTACCATGTATCCAGCTCTCACCATGTTACTGGACGTTTCCTTCATCCTATACGAAAACAACAATTAGCAACATTCTCACATACTCCTGTAAGTTGATTCAATTTAAATTCATTTTACACTTTTGTTGCTACTGTTATCATTGTAATTGCAGCTCCTGATGATGATGGCAAAGTCCATTGAAAGCTAGAGAGAATTAAAAAAGTATAAAGAGTCCTCTTTGCTTAAATTTTGTCGAAGTACCCAACAAAAGGCGGAAGCTTTAATTTTTCACCTAACTAGTTTAGACGACAATGACGACGTCTCAAGTTATATATATATATATATATATATATATATAGTCGAAATCACGAAAGATGACGATTACGTCATCATTTTAGGCTGTAGTAAGGACAAAGGCAAGCGATTTGTGAATATTTTTAATAAAGTTTCAGATATGTTAGAGACAGACATAATTTTATTGTGTAAAGAAACTGTATTGTTAATTTCCATGTATCCTACAAAGATAGACGATGTTTTCATGTTGCATGATCGATCATATTTGAAAGATGAATAGTTTTTTTTTGGAATAATACTTTGGTCTTTGGTGTTCCTGTCTTAAGGTATTCTACTCATAACTGTTTTTTTCAAAACAAAAACTCCCCACTAAAATTATTATTACGGTATCACTCAAAACCATGAAATAAAATGAAAATAAAAATAATCAGTGAAATAACCTAACTTCGCAAAATCATAATATAAATTTGTTGTCATTATGTTCCTGACATCGTGATTTTATCATCGACGTACGTCCATTGATTACTTCAGTACAATTTATGATATGACGTAATAGTCATCTTTCGTGATTTTGACTATAGTACGTATGCCTTTATACGAATAAAATTAGCTAACCATTTTTTGCACCTGCTTGCTATCTAAAACACGACATTGATCATTATCAACTGCCCAGTTTTAAAATTATCCTACTTGTATACAGATACGTGAAGTGAGCATGTGCCTTGCTATCAGCCAGTTTCATCATATCTTTTTGGTTTTTCATTCTCTTGTTTTTTGAATCGCGAACGGCAAGCGAGCACTTTACAATGAGTCAATGACTCATCGTGCATGTGCCCGGTGTCCGCACTCGTCAGACTTCTTTGTAATTCGCTATTCGATCGATCGGGGAACTCCAATGCGGTGTTGCCATGTCGTTATGAAAATCATCAGGTTTCAGAAAAAAATTGGCATAACAACGTTTATTTGCGGTAAAACAGTTTATCCTGAAAGTTGATTGACAGCCGGTGCTGTAGACTAATTGGAGGAGATGCGGGTTTGGATTCCGCCGTCGCCCATTTTTCCTTTTCCTCAAGTTGTTGTTTACTATAGAATCGAAAACGTAAAGAAGATATTGAAGAAAAATACTCATTATTTATTTAGTACGGCATTCCAAGTACTGTCCTGTAGCATGCTGTGTTTGTAATTACTACTTGAAGTTTCCGCTGTTTACCTCTTTCTGTATAATTTGTAACATTTGGGACTGTATAGGTCTTCTACTGTGTCCACCCAGACGGATTTTGCACGCTATAAACAAACAAAATATCGAGGACGTTGGCGACGTTCTGAATAGTCGAATACACTCGCGGGGTATCAATAGGATCTTGAAGAAGCTAACAGTAAACTAACATCAAATCAATAACTACGTTATTGCTGTAGGAATGTACCAATTTTGGGTTTCAAATGCGGGTTGCTTATACACTAGGTCCTACATAGTCAAAGTATCACATAACATGACATACCAGGGGAGGGAGACAAGTAGTACGATAAGTATGCAATAGACATTGCAGATCACAAATTTGTATCTATCAGAATTCTGTAAAAATTAAAGTGTGGGTATAAAAATAATGAAAACAATTTAAAAAGCAATAACGGATATATCATATATCAAAAGTTCAAGAACTCTTTTGGAAAAGGAGAATCAGCCAGAAGTTGACCAATTCACTTCTAAAGATCAACACACAAACTTTCAGAAGCACCATGACGAAAGCTTTATTAACTGATTAGATTAATTACATGACATGTCATATTACATAAGCGTAAATGTACACACACTCATACATCACACAAACAGAACCAAAGGTCAATCGCCACTCTTCTTTCCCAGAGTGACAACCTCGTAAAAACACCTGCACGCAGCCCGGCAACTTATGCGAACCGCGATAAAAACTAGTCATCCATTCACGGCACATGCGATGCTCTCAGCCTTCGCGAAAAAATCGAGCATGCGTCGAGCGCCGCCGCCTACTGCGACCGACGACGTCGCGGCGGCGTCGCGAACAAACGACGATCAGCTGACGCCGCCGGAAAAACAGTTGACAGCTACCCTTGCGAGTCACAGCCGACGCGATCGATAATGATGGCGACCGTGCGTTTCGACGTTGTGCGAAAGTGAGTGGATTTTTGTGCAAAATGAGCGCGTACAAAAAAATGTGCGATGTGGCCGATGACGAGTACGCCAGGAGTGTTATGCTAGACGGTAAGGGATGAAAATGAAGGAATATCGATCCGATACAGTGAACATACGTATATGGGGTTGCAAATGGCTAGAGGTGAAACGTCAAAATACGTTCATCCCGATCTTGTTGGGCGATTCTTCGCTGCTTGAAAAACGTATAATTACACAATTGAGTTTTTAATTATTAGTAATAATAAATGGCTTTTTTTATAACGAAGTTTAGTGTCGGCTTTTCCTCGACTTAACCTTGTGAGACATTGGATACTAGAATTTCATATACAAATATACACATACGTATTCATTAAACATATTAAAATACAGCAGTGTAAAAGTTCAGTACTAGAAAACATTACAGTTACATATGTAGAATTTAGTTTAAACTTCTCCAGAGTCATATTTTTCAGGTCATTTGATAGAGAATTGTATAGAGATGGCATTAAATGTGAAAGATCTTATGAATATACAAGTCTTGTGTTGAGGCATAGCGAATATATCTGGAAAATGAATAAGTCTGTTGGGGTGGATTCAGAAGGCAACACTAATTTTGGATTTTATACAAACATTTTGCTGTATATTGGTCGAGCCAGGGATAATATGATGGCATACAATAAAGAATTTTCTTGGGAAACTTGGTCAAAATATTTTTGTTGGCATGCAGGAGCCTTAATGCTAAATAGCAGTTTTTAACTATAAGAGCTTCCTGGTCCAGGAACCATAATTTTTTCTCAAAGAACACCCCGAGGTTTGTTGATACTAATTTGCCTGTTTTTCTTAAAAAATTGGATTTCTTTTTTGGACCAAATAAAATTATTTGAGATTTTTCAGCGTTCAATTTAAGAGCATTGTCCTTTGCATAATTATATGTTACTTCTAGATCCTTGTTTATAAGTGAGGTAGCGTTTTTTCGTGATTGTTTGAGTGAAATGGCCGACCTTGGGGTCATTATTTTATAATTTTGATCGACTATGGTCAAATTTGAGGTGAATAGTGTGAATACTAGTGGTTCCAAATTAGTACCTAATGCAACTTTTTGACGTCGAAAAAAATTCTCGGGAAGTTCTAAATAACTCAATTTTTATACAGTTCGTGGTTAATAGTATCGGAAGCTTCTAAAAAATTAAGAAGCAATAAGATTGTTTCCAAACACAATTTGGACGAATCAAATTTTTGAAACAAATAATAATAATAGACGTCTTTATTTCTTTATAACAACAATGTAAAGCAGCTAAGTAAATTTATTGTTTGCTACTCTTACATTTAACCATAATAGTCACTAGCAGATGTTAATAATAAAGAAATATTAAACACAACAATTTTAAATTTTTAGTAAAAGCGAAAACTGACACACTTTCCACAGCAAAGTACATCAAAAAATAGAAAAGCAAAAACGATGATTAGGAGATTAAAAAAACATTATTGTGTAATCAAGTCGTTGAAGAAGAGATAATTTCCCTTTTTGTCGAAAAGCGAGTAATTTGTATTGCTTATACAAGTTTAAAGCACTCATTTTTATTGTATTTGCATATACCAACATGTTTCTTTTTAAAGGGTTCAAACGAAGATTATGACTACTACTAAACTTTTCAATTTAGGCTAGATCTAGATCAATTTTATTATTAGCTGTTTCCAAGTTCCATTACTCCCAAATTAATGGAAAATCTACATCTGAGATATATAATGACAATAACAGGGGTCCTAACACAAATCCCTGTGGTACACAAGAACAACTATGGCTCGTAAACAACGTGTTCAAATACTTTTGAGAAAATAGGCAGTAGGATGAGAACACTTGCGTAGCGGAACAACTATAGCATGTTTCCACTGATCTGGGAAATATCTCCTATCAAAAAGCTTTCGAGAAATCTATAGATGTTAACTTTAATGCAATTTTCTTATCCGAGGCTTTAAAAATATTATCTTGCAAATACCTCGCTATCAACTTTTGCAAAAACAATCATGTTTGAATTCGTTATTAATACATTAAAACGTGTGCTAAACTAACTCGTTAGGCATGTGCTTCACATGTTAACTCCCTGGTGTTTGTATGAGAAATGCAGAATACTTTTAGACGTCAATATCATTTATAATTATTATAGTTCTAGCTAAATAGTGGGAAATCGACAATTAAAACTTATAAGATATTAATAGATATATTGCTAAAAAAAAGTCCAATTATTCAAATACAATAATTACTCAAATCCTTTATGATGCAAATTGGTCCCCTGGCAAGTTGTAAACGATCATGCCTTCACCATGATTCATCAACTGGTTGTCTTGTAACTTGCAACGCTATACTTCATAACATTAATATATTCTTGAGCTTATCTCGGCCTTGTTTTTCCTCGAGCGCGCAGACCATTAGTTATTTTTTCATCGCGATAATTTTGTCATAATGATCATTAGGACAAGCTGAGCGAAACTAAAATTCGCCATTAATAAAAATTATCATGACAAATAACCGAGCGAAACGGTAGACTTGTAGGCCTTGACAGGCAATTGTAAAGTCCGAGAACCTCCGCAGTGACTACGTTTGTATTGTTTAATTCGGAATCGATTCAAATTGGGCGAACGATGCTGGAGCCAAAACCGATCCCTGAAGAACACTCGCACTGACTGGAATACTGGTTTTGACCGTCCGACCACACACAGTCAACCATGGACGGATGTTGTTTACTTTTTGGCAACTCATCAGCGTCGTCTAGGCTTGGCCTCAGGTCAGGATAACGAACGATGCATGGCAACTAACTTCGATTTGAGGTGTATGATCTATCGGAACAAGACAGTATACGCTGCCATCTATTGCCAGAATCGCAGTTTATGCTGGCTTATTTTAACAGTTATCATATTATACTCGTATTATTAATCTAACAAAATTTGGTATACGAAAGATGTCTTAAAGAGACATGATAAGAAGGGTGCAATCCACCTTTCGATATAGGATTTTCTTTAAACATTGAATAAAGTCTGCTGTTTGTTTTTAATGTGTATTTAAAGACAAAATAATAATTTTTATTGTTTAAATCTTGCATATAACCGTAGTTAAATCTTCCTAAAAATTTAGTCATCACATTCTCACATGTATAAATGTTTACCAATTCTTATAATAGCCATATTAAATTGATGACATAATTTCGGGTACAACTACTGGGAATTCAGTTCCATCTGGTACGGCGATTCTCTAGTATTTGACCTCGAATATAACTAAATTGCATAAGGCGTATATGTCAACAATATTTACTACCAAGGCTCTAAAACGTGACCTAGAATATTTGTCGCTAACTTTTATGCAGATATCTTGTTTGTCTCATTTTAGAGAATGCATCCAGAAGAATATATATACTAAGTGACATATAAATCCGAACACCCAGTTTAAATGGTTTTATTTTAATAAAATTTTGTATAAGTACTTAATGAAGCATAATAAGTAAATGATAAAAATTTCAAAATGATTGCACTGCTTTAAAGCCCTTTGACCTTTAATAATGTGTGGATGCACCCTGATGTGCTACGCATTCTCCAACGCGCCTAGGCATGCTTCTGATCAGGTGATCAATGTCCTCCTGTGGTATCTCATTCCAGGCAACCACCAACTCCTCTCGAAGTGCTTCTAGAGTCTGAGGAGGACGTTGCAAATTGAGCAATCTCCTACCCATCATATCCCACACGTGCTCAATTGGGGATAAGTCGGGGGATCTTGGTGGCCATGGTAACAATGTGACATCATTATGTTGAAAGAAGTCTATTGTGACTCTTGCAACATGTGGTCGGGCATTATCTTGTTGGAAAGTTGGATCTGCCAGGGTGTCAAGATAGGGTAAAAGATGGGGTTCTAGAACTTCGTGGATATAACGCTGCGCGTTCATGTTACCTCTGATGAAGATTAAAGGTGACCTGGAACCGTAAGCTATAGCACCCCAAACCATAACTCCAACAGTGTGATCAACATGTCTTTCAACAAAAAACTGTGGATTCCTCCTTTCACCATGTCGCCTTCTAACCCTGGCACGACCATCGTGCATGCCTAAACAAAATCGAGACTCGTCACTAAAGACAATACTGTTCCATTCCTGATCTCAGAGTGACCGTTGTCTGCACCACTCAAGGCGATTACGTCGGTGTTCTCGAGTTAAAGGGAGGACCCAGTGTGGCCGGTATGAAAACACTTCGCATGCCAATAGGTCTTCCGTGTTCTGCAAACCATTCATTTGCAATGGACCTGGTAGTGGAGAAATGGTCCCTTAAGGCCAATAATCTCAAGCGGCGATCTTCATGGTCTGTTGTTCTACGGCGGCGTCCAGTGCCCCTTGTTCTTTGCGTACGGCCTTCTCGAAGCCATGCCTGACAACACCTAACCACAGTGTCTACACTTCTTTGCACTCTAACTGCAATTGCCCGAAAAGAAAGTCCAGCTTCCCGAAGTCCCACTATACGGCCCCTATCAAACTCACTAAGTTGACGAAATCGTACAGGTCTCCGTACTCTAGGCATCGTAACCGATCGTAAAGGATGTCAAGAACCAAAATCCGCCAACGTTGATTCTTTATTGCGGCTGAAATATTCATTTTTAGAGCGTTAGTGAATTAAAAAAAAGCAGTATAAAAACCGGAATGTCCAACTGATAAGGCTGAAAATTTTTTCACTTGTTATTTACAGTAAGATAAATACATTCACCAACTTTTATTAAAATAAAACCATTTAAACTGAGTGTTCGGATTTATATGAGTGTTTAGTAGAAAATATGCGTGCATTATAGACTTATCTAAGAGATTTGGAACATTAAAAATGGATGGTCGAAGTAAATTCGCCTGGGGGAGCGGTCATAACCCCCTTGAAGCCCGCCCCCCCCCCCCGATCCGCGCCTGTGCGTGGCAAGCAAAAATAAGGCCAATGATTGCTTGA